TATTAAAATATATAATTAATTTTAAATTTTAATTTTAATATTTAATATAACTGACTCATTATTTAATAACTAATATATGATAATAGCTAATGTCATTACACGGAATTTTTAGTTAAAAACACGCATATGTAACAAATAAATTTTTGACATGTAATGATAATAATTGTTAATTAATGAATCATTTATCTTGATCAATACTTTAAGTGAACAATTTAATTTTAGTTTTTTATAAAACAGATCTATCCTACTTGAGAGTTCAGCCATGACAAATTAGTAGCTTGGTTAATTATTGCGTAGAAGTTGTGGGACTATTGATGATATCCTTTGTGAAGCAAAAGGTGGAACAGGTGGATGACTCCATCTTCCAGTATACATATATATATATATATATATATGAGGTTAGTGTATATTTATTTTGATTTTTAAAAAAATTAGAGTTTCAATAGATATTTAGAAATTAAAATTTTAATTCAAAATTTAAAAATTTATCCTATTAAGTGTTAGTACGTAAATTTTGAAACTGATTATATATTTTAATATAATCATTTTTTAATTTAAATATTAATATTTAATAAAATATATTTTTAGATTTTTGAATTTAGATTTAATTAAATAAAATGATATAATTTAAAATTGATACTTTAATTTAATTTGGGTGTTGGGATTGATATGTAATTATATATATAAAAAATTAATGTGTATCAGTCTCGACTTTTAAAACAAATTGGAGTTTCAATATATATTTTAAAACAAAATTCCTAATTTAAAATTTAAAAATTTACTTTATTAAATATTGATACTTAAATTTAAAAACCACTTATATATTCTAATATAAGTAGTTTTCAAATCTAAACATAAGTATTTAATAAAATAGATTTTTAAATTTTGAATTAATTTTTAATTAAATAAAATAACTTAATTTAAAATTAAGACTCCAATTTATTTTAGGTGTCAGGATTGATATCCACTTTTTCCCATATATATATATAGATCAGCGCATGTGAGGTTTGGCCGGAGAGGGTTGGCTCTGACTAAAGAAGTTATACATGGAGGGGTCTGCCATTGAAGTTGCAGGGAGGGAGAGGAGGTGGAGTGGAGTGAGGAGTCAGGTGGGGGAGAGGGTCGTTTATAAAGGGCCGGATTGGGGTGGAATCTTTGCCACACCTTAGCACAAGTCAAATTTTAGGCAAAAGCCTACTTTTAATTCCTCATTTGAAGGTTGTAACCCCTCACTTTATACTATAACATTTTTAATTCCTTACTTTATTAGATTTATAAGTTTTAGTCTCTCACCTTATAATATGATATTTTAAACCCCTCACATATTAAAATTGAAGAAAATAACCCTCATTTTGTAACATTTTGTTAGTTTTGTTAGCTAACTGTTAATTCTATTTACTGACTATTAGTTGACTGTTAACTGTCAAAAACTTTTTTTCAGCTAACAGAGTTAACAGAACTAATTTTATAATATTTCGTTAATTCTGTTAATAGGTTATTAGTTGACTGTTAGTTGATAAAAATCTACTTTTAACTAATAAAATTAACAGTAAATATAAAATGAAGGTTATTTTCTTTGATTTTAATATATAAGTGGTTAAAACCTACAAACTAATAATATTAGAGGTTAAAAATGTTATAATATAAGGTAAGGGACTAAAACCTTTAAATTTAATAAGGTAAAACGTTAAAACAGGTTTTTACCTCAATTTTTAAGTAGTGACGCCAAGATTGCCGAGGTCACCCTTTAAAATTTGATCTTAAAATTAGACATGTGAAGTTGTGCTGTCACACCCCTTAAAATTTGATCTTAAGATTAGACTTGTGCTGTCGCACCTTAAGAAGCACAAGTCGAAATTTTAAGGGGTGACAGGGAATATCCTGGGGTCGCCCCTTAAAATTTGACCATAGAATTTGACTTATGCGTGTGATAATCACTGTACTCCAATCCGGAATTGGTAATAGTCGGGGATGTCCAGTTCCACCTTAAAATTTGACTTGTGCATGTGACAATCACTCCACCCCAATCCGGCCCAGCCACCCCAAAATCTATTATTATGAAAAGGGTTAACATGATAGAGTTATGTTTTAAATTGAGAGAAGAAAAGAGCTTGGGTTTAAAGAATAAACTATAATATAGTAGATAATTAAGTTGAGATTTGCCTTTTTTTACTTAATATTTTTGCATATTTACTGTAATATTTTATTTTATAATCATAAATAATTTTATTTTTTTAATATTTTAGGAGGGCCTGGCTCTTCAGCCCCTTTACTACGCTTCTAATAAGTTATATATATATATATATATATAAAACCTCTCCCTTTTTAATTTTTTTTTATACAATTCAAGATTCAAATTTAAAATTTTTAAAATCGTATACTATATGTTGCACTGTAAAATAATAGAGAAAAAAATGACAAAGCAAAAGAATGATATAAATGACATAGTTTTAAAGTGTTTTTTTACTTAATTTTTTATTAAAGACTTGTTTAGTATAACGATTTGAGAGTAGTAGCTAGAGATTTTATCCAAACTATTAATACTATGTGTTTGGTAGATTTTTTTTTTTTTTTTACATTGTTACAAACTACGTTTTTTTTTTTTTTTAAACAGCAAATAATGATATTTATTGATATATAGAGTACAAGGGGTACCCCAAACCCTTAAACATCAATAGTTGGGAGACATAAATGTACAAGAGTGGACTAACTGCCCAATAGTGTCGATACCCACATAAAGTGTCGACACTATACCCGTGTCGAATTTATGTCCTCCTTTACAGTTTTTACATAGCTCCCTGTTCTGAAAATCAAAAACTTCCACTTTTCAAATCCACTGACACGCAGAATCGTTGAGCATGTATTTACTACAGCTTACCTAACACGCTACAGTGAAATACCTGCTCAATGAAGCCTTTATGCCTCAAACAAATTTCAGCTTGCACTCCGTTTTGCAGTGTAACTTTCTTTTTGTTGTTTATGAAACAATTTCATTGCTTGTTTGTAGCTTCTCATTGACAGAGCACACGCTACAAGGTTATCCTTCCACTCATTAAACGAAAAGACACAACCATTTACCTTATTCTTGATCCATAAAAATGATTTAGCTTGAATCATATTTAGTAATTTTCCCCTGATGATAGCTTCATTATCAAATACCTTATCATTTCTCCAATACCATAAATACCATGATACAACTAGAAAGATACAAGCACCCATCTCCTTCCCTACTACCCTACCCAAATTGTATACAAAGATGTTTGCCACTCCTCGTACGATATTTGGCATTACCATCTTCATGTTCCACCACTGCAACACCTCTGTCCACAAAATCCATGCTTCCTTACACATACTAAATAAATGGTGAGCCTCCTCAATCATGTTATGGCACAAAACACACATTAATTCCTCTTCCTGTAAATGCACCCCTCGCTTTCTAATGTTCCACTTAGTTGGAAGCCTATCAAGACATAAACGCCATCCAAAGAAAGACACTTTGGATGGTACTAACTTGCACCAAATAACCTTGCACAACTGTTCCTCTAAGATACCCTTCGAAGGAGCCAAAAATTCATAAGCCTTCTTCACCATATAACTACCATCTGAATCATGTAGCCACCTCCAATGATCTTCAACACCCTTCTTTAATTGCAAATTACCCAACTTCTCCCACAACGCCTCCTCCTCATCCTTCTCTCGTCCTATTCTCCCCTTCCTCCATTCCAGTTTCCAACACCATTTATCCCCTTCCCATACCCCCATTTCACAGATATTACCCTCCTTATTCATAGACAGTGCGTACAACCTCGGGTATAGATCCCTTAAAATTTCCCCCCCTATCCACCACTCTCTCCAAAAACCCACCCGATTTCCTTCACCCACTTCCCATCTAAACCCCTCTACCAACATATTATGTAGTCTCATCGACCGCCCCCCTATACTAATAATATCTCTCCAAAGCTTAGATACTCTCCAGTTCCCAATAGCCTTAATATCCGCCTCCTTCCAATTGCCCTAGTAATATTTTTCTGTTAGTACCCTTTTCCACAGGCTCTCTACCCTATCCCCAAATCTATGCCACCATTTCCCCAATAGTGCCCAATTTTTCCTACGCAAATCCTGCACCCCCAAGCCCCCTTTTACCCTACTGCGACATA